AATTGTTTACCCACACCCATCCAGGGCCTTATACTGCACCTCCGCTCCTTTCATCAGAAAGCAGAGTCTATCATCTGCCCCAAGTGACGGAAGTGGCTGGTATCATTGTTCTGAGTCTAGGACTTAAGGAGCCTTGACTCACTTGCTTCCTTTCTTGGGCTTCTGCTTCTGTGTGAGAATTAGCCTAGGCTATCCCTGATGGATATGATCCCAGTGAAGCCAACTAGACATAGCCAGTAATCCACAAACTCATCAGCATTGAGTGGAGCTACCCTGGGCTACTCTGCACCAGCCAAACTCAGATGAGATCAGCTGAATCCAAGCTTGACCAGCTGAGGCTAGTTTAGGTCAGAGAGCTCAGTCTGGACCAGTTAAACCCAGCCAGGATCAGCAGGGCTCAGTGTAAAATAGATGAGTCCAGTGAAGATCAGCTGGAATTAGTCAAGCCCAGGCAAGAGCAGCCGAGCTCAGTATGCATCAACCAAGCCCACTCTTAGTCAGTGAAGATCAGCCTGGATCAGTGCATCAGCATATCCAGGCCGACAGTTTGTGAACAGTAAACTCGTTCAGCCTCTATTGTGCGGTGATTGTGGAAGAGCGGACAGAGGCTTCCTGGGGACCCTGAGGGCTTCATAGGTGCTGACAGTTTCCTTGTCCATCTTCTGTGCTGCCCACTGGCTCCAGAGCCCAACTGCCATGATCCCTCCCTGAGAAGGTGCTAGCCCTCAGTCAGGGAAAGACCAAAGCAGGTGACTTCAGAAGAGAGGGGACAGTGAGAGGATCCTGCCTTGCTTGGGTGGACAGCTCAAAATAGGAGCTCCTTAAAAAGAAAAAAAAAATGTAAGAGTCCAAATGGTAAGCTATGACGTAGCACGATTGGTAGAACACCTTTGTCTCACTCTCTCGCTTTGAACCCTGGTAAGATGCAAAAGGGAAGTGGTGATACTTCCAATAATCCCATCACAGGAGGCTGGAGCAGGGGGAACAGAAGTCCAAAGTCATCTCTGAGGCTACATACTGAATTTGAAGCTAGTCTTCGATACATACATGAGACCTTGTCTCAAAAAAAAAAAAAAAAAAAAAAAATCCAAGTTCTATCTGCAGAATTAAGAATAAAATAGCTCAATGTGGTATTATAAACATCTGGCCTTCACCTGTCCCTCCCCCGCCCCACCTTCTGCCTTCTACATATAGGAATTTTAACAAACAGCTACAGCCAGGCATGGTGGTGAACACCTTTAATCCCAGCACTGGGGAGGCAGAGGCAGGATCTCTGTGAGTTCAACACCATCTCGTTCTACATGGTTAGTTCCAGACCAGTCTGGGCCACAGCATGAGACCTTGTCTCAAAGCAAAAGGCAGCTGTCAAGGGCTGGGGATGTAGCATATTAGAAAAGACAAGAACTATCCCACTTAACCTCTAGCCTGCTGCCAGCCCTGTGTTCAAACTCCAATACCACAAAAACAAGCACGCCCAACTGTATCTAATCTCTTCCAAAGCACGCAAGCAAGTCCTTGCTTCCCTCCATGGAAGATTTAGCTCATCCACCCCCTTTCCTCCCCCTACACCTGCCCTTTCTCTGACCCTGCCCCCAACCCAGGACCCTGGAGTCATGATTTAGTGAGCCTGATATTTGTTTTTCATTTGCTTCTGTGACTTTGAAAGAGCTTTCCATCAGGGAACTATGCTGACCACTCCACTCTCTTTTATTTTTTTGTTCTTTCCACGAATTTCCCAATAACGCCATGAACCCTAGGGGTGGGGTGGGGTGGATTGGGAAAGGCATCAACTCTTCATCCACCTCCATCCTTACCCTGAGACAGGGACAGAGAGGTAGAGACAGAAATCCAGGCAGGCCCCACCCTCCTGGGATGGCAGGAAGTCACAGTCAGTCCTGAGGGCAGAAAGATGGCCTGTCAGGGTTGAGTCTCGTTGCCAAGGAGGGCAAGGCCTGTAGGCTCCAAGCAGGACTTTCTTCTGCTATTGAATCAGTATGTTTTGTTGCTGTGATAAAACATCATGGCCAGGGCAGTTTATGGAAGGAAGAGTTTATTTGAACTTAAGGTTCCAGAGAGTTAAGAGTTCATGAAGGTGGAGTGGAGGTAGCAGGTGGGGTGGCTGGAACAGCAAGCTGAGAGCTCACATCTTAAACCCCAAGCAGGAAGCCTAGAGTGAATCCAAATGGTGGATTTTTAAACTTTTTTTGTTTGTTTGTTTGTTTTACTTTGAATTTTCAAGTCAGAGTTTTTCTGTGAGCTTTGTGGACCAGACTGGCCTTGAAATCACAGAGATCCGCCTGCTTCGGCCTCCTGAGTGCTGGGATTAAAGGCATAAACCACCAACACCACCCTGTGATACTTTAAACTCTTAAAGCAGCCTCCAGTGACACCCTTCCTCCAACAAAGCACACCTAAGCGTCTCCAAACACTACCAACTGGGACCAGACATCCAAATATCTGAGACTATGGGGGACATCTGATTCGAGCCACTACAGCCAGTAGCCTGATGTGCCCTGTGCCCATACCCTAGATCCAAAGCCTGTCATCAGACCCCATTCTCTTTGGAAGCTTTCTTGGGGTCTTTCTCCTGCTCTCCCTTTTCAATGGGGATCATACTGGGGCCACAGACTCAACACATGTGTGACATGAGATTGGCGGAGCCTATCTTTCCCACTTGATTTCTCCAATGGGAACATGCAAACCAAGATGCATGGTGGACTCAATGCTGGAGTCCTTTCTGAATGAAGAAGCTGAACAGGCCTGGGACATGGCTCAGCAGGTAAGGGCCCAAGTTTTAATTTCTGGTGCCCGAGCAAAAACAAACAAACAAAACAGGCTTAGGTATACATGCACCAATAACCCCAATGCTATGGAGGAGGTAGATAGGGCATAGCTGAGATGTCCTGCTGCCAGCCTAGCTCCAGGTTCAGTGAGAGACCCTGTCACAAAGGAATAAGGAGGAGTGTAGTGGGGTAGGGGACCTGACATCCTCCTCCACCTCTGGGCTTGCATATGGGCATGCATCTACACACACAAGTGTGTGTCCACCACTACACACACATAGAAAGAGGGTGCAACATAATTTCTTCAGTTGGGACAACTCGAAGAACCCCTTTGTTGTGTGTGTCTGTGTGAGGAAGTTTGAGCTGTAGGAACCGCTCCCCACCCCATCCTGTATGGGAGAATTCAGGGATAAGTAGCGGTGGCGATAGGCAGCCAAGGTCTGTGGCTGGCATGAGGAGCCCCGGCGGTCTAAAGGACAGTAGGACTTTACAGAAGGACTCAAGACAGGTGGAAGCTTCCATCCACGCCAAAACCTGTCCACTGAGGGACAGAGCAGGGCAGAGGTCCAGGCTTTTTTGTTTTGTTTTTGTTTTTGGAGACAGGGTTTCTCTGTGGCTTTGGAGCCTGCCCTGAAACTAGCTCTTGTAGATTAGGCTGGTCTTGAACTCACAGGGATCCACCTGCTTCTGCCTCCCAGTTGCTGGGATTAAAGGTGTGTGCCACCAACACCCAGCATGAGGTCCAGGCTCTTAACCCAGGGTAAATCTGAGCAATGTGCTTCATCGTATGTGACCCTGCCTGCTTCAGAGGCTCTGAGGAGGAGGGCTGGCATGCCTGGCATGTCTGCTGTGCTGTTGTAGACGGGGTCTTACTATGTAGCCCATGCTTATGTTGCGCAGGCTATCCTTAGCCAAAAGTTCCCCGGGCAGCCCAGACTGGCACTGGGCTTCCTACTTCCTAGCTTCTTCTTTGCTGGGTCTTGGCCTTGGGGTCTCCTGCAAACTCTGCAAGGTGTCTACCACTAAGGTCACCCCCCCAGCCCAAGGGCCAGCAATTTGGCACATTTGGTAGGAATGTCACAGATGTTACGATGGGATGGAAAGGGTCTCCTCCTTCACCCCTGTTCCTTCCTCCCCCTCACCACCCTCACCCCTGTGCCCTTGAACTGTGACCATTTCTCTTGACCTAAGGAGATGCAGGAAGGGGAAATCAGGAAGGATGGAATAGAGCCCTATGAGAAATCCAGTTTCTCAGCTGTCTCTGCCGATGGCCACCTCTGCCTCATCTGCAAAATGGAACCACAGCCCACAATTTACTGGACCCTGTGAGAGTGAGGATGTGGGACAGGCTCTGTGGGGGTGTTGACTTTCAGGGTGAATCACTAGCAGGCCAGGCTTGAATTCCTTTCACATACTTTTTGTTTTGTTTTGTTTTTCTGAGACAGGGTTTCTCTGCATAGCCCTGGTTGCCCTGGAATTTGCTTTGTAGATCAGGCTGGCTTTGAACTCAGAGATCCACCAACTCTGCCTCTGCTGGGATTAAAGATGTTCGCTACCATGCTCTGTCTTTTGTTTGCTTTTCAGAGACAGAGTCTTGCAATGTAGCTCCATCTGGTCTCTCTTCAACCTCCTGCTTCAGCCTCTGGAGTGCCGTGACTTCCCTGTTGGGTTACCACAGCTGGCTGTGATGTTTATTTATTTATTGGCGTGAGTACGCCACATGCAATATTTGGTACCTACAATATTACACATCAAATGCTTCACCAGAAAAGGTGTTCATTTATCTGGAATTCAAATTAAACTGGACCATCAGTTTTTACCTGGCAGGAGACACAGATGGGTGGCAGAAAGAAACCGAGTGACAGTGAATGCGGGGTGAGACATCTTCCACTCCTCAGCCTCCCCTGAAACATGTCACTCAGATTTGACCTGGTACCTCACCTCCTCCAGGCAGCCTCCTGGCTTGTAAGCACCACCGCTCCTTTAGTCCCAGCTCAAGGCTGCCAACCCGTCCTGACTTTCAGACTCACTCCTTGGCCCCAGGCGGCTGCTGAGGTGCCCTGCCCTGGAGTCATTTCTTGTGTGTGAAGCCGGGGCTGGGTGTCTCAGTACTGGCAGCTGGGGACAGCGTACATGGTGGGTCTTCCTTTCCTGGCTGGTGGCTGAGTGGCAGCGTTGCTCTTACATAATCAGTCTCTCTCCTCCTTCTTTTTCCAGAGCTAGACTTCACACTGAGCAGCTGCAGCCGGAGAAACCAGAAAGCACCACCCAGCCCCAGATTCCAAGAGGCCTGCTGGGGACTCCCTTCTCTTCCTCCTCCTCCTCCTTCTTCCCGAGACCCCAAAGCCACTGTCTCACACCAGTTCCTGAGCTGCCATGGGACTAGCAGCCACCGCCCCCTGGCTGTCCTCCGCCCTGCCAAGCAGATAGGGCGGTAGCTATCCCAGGAGTACCTGCCCTCTCTCAGCCTGGGCCAGCCCTTCCAGACTTGGTGGCCACCTTGCTGAACCCAGGCCATGTAGGTCCTAGCTCAGGCCTCTGGACACACTGCTGGGGACAGTGCCTCTGCTCTCAGCGAGCACCCAGTGCTCCATCATGCCCTGGGGACTCGCCTGGTTATACTGTGAGTACTGGGGGAGGGGTTCATATCTGGGGATCCTGTCCTGGGAGGCCTTGGTGGGTGGGTGGCTTTGCTGTAGCCATAGCAACCAGGGCAGTTCTTGTTGGTAAGAAGTTGAGATGCTTCCCAGAGGGTTGCACACAGCCTTGGGGATGGGGATCCATGGCCACCCTCTGCTCTGCCTGTCTCTGACCTCAGGCTCAGATGTCCAAGCTGAGTGGGTGCCACCATGCGGGATGGGGCAGGCACTGGGGTGGGTGGCAGCTTCACACTTCTGTTGTTTCATTGGCTCTGGGGTGCAGGGTGGGGACAGAGGTTGTAGAGAGAGGATTTCCATCCTCCCGGGTGTGGCTAGTGGGGGATAGGGAAGACACAACTCATGGGACAGGGGAGGCCTGGAGAAGGAAACCAGCCAGCCCCCTCTACCCGCCTCCATTTCAGGTCAATATTAAAAAGCAGAAAGAGAATGATGTTCCTGGTAAACAGAAAAATAAGTTGAGATAAGGACAGAAATGAGGAAAGGACCTGGTGGGTTGTCTATGCCTGCTGGGTGGGAAGCCAGGCTGAGACCCTGCAGACTCAATGGCAGCCGCAGGGCTAGTGCAGAGTCATTGTCATGACAAGGACCTTATCTGCTTTGCACCTTCTATCCTCACTGTGACTTGAAGTTATTTACTCCAAAAACGAGGGCAGGGGCTGTAGCCCACAAGTCTTCAGAGAGGAGCTGGGCACATTCTGTTCCTGGATACTACAAAGGGTGGGGACATTCAGAATGGGTGAAGGACCTAGTCAGACCCAGTGTTCTGGAAGCTTCCACTTCTTAATAGGACAGGGGTAGCAGCATGGGGGAGGGTCTTCTTGAGGAGGACTCAAAGGCTAGGTGGCGGTCACACTGATAGATGTAGGGTGATGGTGATAGCGCTCCGAGCAGAGATGTGTGTGCATGGGGTGGGGCTGGGTGGGGCTTGGCTGGAAAGGCGGGTGGGTCATCGGTAGGTTCCGGAGGCCTTGAACACCGGGAGTGCTGAAGGATTAGAGAACCGAGGGCCAGCTCTTGAGGTAAAGTGATTACACCTAAAGATTTGGTTTTATTATTTTTAATTATGTGACAATGTGTGTATATATACACATGAGTGTTAATGCCCTTGGAGGTGTTAGATCTCCCTGGAGCTGGCATTATAGCCACCTCACATGTTGCTGGTAACTGAACTTGTGTCCTCTAGAAGAGTACGAAGTACTCTGAACACTGAGCTACCTCTCCAGCCCCAAGTGATTACATTTATTTACTTACTGTGTTGGAGTGTGTTGTGTGTGTGTGTTTGTGTGTGTGTGTGTGTGTGTACCATGGCATGTGCCTGGAAGGCAGAAGGAGAGTCTGTTTTACCTCCCACCATGTAGGTCCTGGGGATTGAACTCAGGTCCTTGCACTTGATGACAAGTACCTTTATTGGCTGAGCCATCTCACTGGACCTGCCTGAGGGGAAGTGTGAGGCTGGAAAGGAATGCCAGCAGAAGGGGAGCTTCAGATGGCATCTCTCAGGACTTGGCAAAGACTGGCTGGGGAGAGAGGTTGGCAGGGCAGGAGTCGTCTTCCAGGGGCCCCTAAGGATGCTGGGAGATGTCAGGCTTCCTTAACACCTCATCATGGATTTGTGACTCATCTCTGTCAATGTATTTTTTCCTAGTTCAGGGAACTGGAAGTCTGAAACTGGGGTCGCTGATCAGCATAGCTTCTGAAGGCTCTGGGGAGGGTCTTCCTGCCTCTTCTAGATCCTTGTGGCTGGCTCCCTGTGTTCCCTGACAAGTGGCAGCACTGCCAATTTGCACACCACAGCCATCTGCAAGACCTTTCCCTCTGCACAATCTTCCTCCTGGAACACCGGGCATTGGGTCTAGGCTCTCCCGAAGCCTAAGATGACCTCACATCAAGAGCCTTTGGTGTTTTAATTACACCTGCAGAGAGCCTATTTCTAAATGAAGTCATTCTGAGATTCCAAGAGAATAAGAACGTGGGAGGGGGATGCTGTTCACCCCCTTATACAGGCTCACATTGGTCAGTGGGGATGGAGGTGACAAGCCTCATTTATTCCTGCAGAAATGGCTACCTTGTTAGGGGCACGGATACCCCCTTCCCCTACCAGGGGCCCTGGCTCTCCTGGAACTAGCTCTGTAGACCAGGCTCCACCTGCCTTTGCAGGGGTTAAAGTCGTGTGCCGCCACCACCACCCGGCTCAGCATGCTTTCTTATGCAGTTCAAAACCATGTGTCCGGGGAAACACTTCCTCCAATGGACTGATCCCTCCCATAGCAATCATTAACCAAGAAAATGCCATAGAATTGCCTCCAGGCAATGTGCTGGAGGCAATTTCTCAGATTAGGTTCCTCTTCCCAGATAACTCAAGCTTGTATGAACCTGACAAAACCCCACCCAGGACAGACCTGGCTCCTATCCTGAGGACACATTTGGTAAAGCCAGAGGCCCTGCAAAGGAACATAGTCCCTGGGGTGGAGCGACAGCTTATAGTGGCTGCTGATGCGAAGAAAGACCTGTTATGGATAGAAGCAGACAACTCCTCCCCAAGATGGAGATTCTTTATCTTTTCAGTGTGCAATCCTGAGGACCAGATGTAGCGATTGTTCCAGTTTGCAAGTGTCACTGGGGCCCATGGTTCCCAGTGGCACATGTCTCAACCAGGAGTGTGCTGCAAAGGTACCTTCTCTATCTGTGGAGCAGAAATGTGGGCTGAGCTGGGCCACCTGCACTTCAGCCAACCCCTGGAGGATTCAGGGCCCTGATCTCATTTCCACCCCCAGAAGCCACCTTTCCCTTCAGGCATGAAGCTCAGTCCCCAAGGTCACGCTGTGGTTATGGCTTTAGTTTGCCATGCTCACAAGACTCTATGACCTGACCAGGTGATGAGTGACCCAGGAGAGTGGTACTGGTAGGGACATCCAGGGTGGGGCAGATCATGTGCAATGGTTCCAGCAGTGGGCTAGGTGTGGGGTTGCTAGACTTGGTGTAGGGACCAAAACAAGGCCATGTCAAAGGGCCCAGCACTGTGCTTATTTGTTTATTTTTACTTAAATTTCTCTTATGATGTATTTATTTTGTGCAGGAGGGGGTTTGTGTGTCATGGCACCTGTGTGAAAGTCAAAGAACAGTTTGCAGGAGTTAGTTTTCTCCTGCCCTGTGGTTCCTGGGGATTGAACTCAGGTCATCAGGCTTGGTGGCAAGCCCCTTTACCCACTGAGCCATCTTGTTGGCCAAATATTGGTTGCTTTTATTTGTTCCTTCAGCCCAATATTGTGTCAGATGCATTGATTCTTGCAAACTTGCCTTCTGTAAGAAAGCAGTTGCCAGAATTCTGCAGGTGGGGAGGGCAGTAGCTGTGGCTCATATGGAGTGCATGGCCTGAGCAGAACTTGGTCTAGCAAGTGGGAAAAAGCAGGGTGGGCTAGGAGGAGGGGAGGGGAGCATGGCCCAGACCAGTGGAGATACAAAGACAAAAGCCTGCAAGGTGGCAGGAAGTGCGTGGGGAGAAACCCAATTAGTGATGACAGTTTATGACAGACTTGGGGAAGAGACTGCCTGCCTGGCCGTCTTGACAAAAAGAAAAGGAAAGAAAAGGCAAGACTCAGGGCAGTAGTGGTGCATGCCTTTGATTTCAGCACTTGGGAGGCAGAGTTCACTGTGAGTTAGAGGCCAGCCTGGTCCACAGTGAGTTCCAGGACAGAAAGGGCTACACAAGAAACCCTGTCTTGAAATATTAAAAACTGAAAAATAAAACAATAAAAAATCCCAGCCTGGCATATGCCTTTAATCCCAGCATTCAGGAGGCAGAGGCAGGCGGATCTCTGTGAGTTCGAGGCCAGCCTGATCTACAGAGTGAGTTCCAGGACAGGCTCCAAAGCTACAGAGAAACCCTGTCTCAAAAAGCCCCAAATCCCAGCACCCAAGAAAGGGAAGGTGGTGGATCTCTGTGAGTTCAAGCCAATTTGGGCTGCATAGTGTTAAAAAAAAAATCCAAAAACCAACTGGAGAACATTTAAAACATGTCCTAGAACATAAAGATGAGTGTAATAATCTCCCGCAGAAATTTGGAATATTTATTTGCATCTCATTTTCCAAAGCACAGGAAATCACTTAATAAATCTAAAGTTGTCCTAAGCATCACTGATATTGTTGGCTCATAGTTCCTTACGAGGGTCTTTCAGCACATCCTAAGTACTCTCCATAACATGTATAGCACCACGAGCAGTCTTCTCCATAAGTAAATACATGTTAAAAGGGAATAATGGTGCTGAATAAATCTTTGTCCATAAATCTACTGTTTTCTTTCTAGTTTATGAGTTTAGTGGGTCAAAGGTGGTAGAGTTTAAATCCATTTTATTATTAAATGTGCCAAGTGTATTTCCAGGCTGAGAACTCTTTTGGCAGCATCAGGGTTATTAATATGAAATTATCTTATAAAAACATTTCCGTTTCCTTGACACGGGGTAATTCCTGTTTGGCTTTGTGTCTGTTTCTCTAACTACGGATTGCATCCAATTGTTTTAATTTGAATCTGTTTCTCCTAATAGTGAGGTTGACCCTTGGGTATCACTTTCTTTTCATGTTTCTCTCATCCACTTGATCCCTATTCATATTTATTGTAAATTCTCTCAAATAATTTTTTTTTTCCTGGTCAAGTGTGCAGATCCTGAGAGTTGTTTTTGAGGTGACAGTGACATCTAGTGGTAATTACTGGTACTGTTTCAAAAGATTGCCCATTATTTGTTGTTGGAACAGCTGGAGTGTGAAGTCTGTTTGCCATCCCAGAGCCATTGGACTGGGAGGAGCTATAGATCTGCTGGTACATCTAATGGAGAAGAACACCAAGCTCACGTATATCATAGAAGAAAGTCTCTGGATGACCAAAATCCATGTTACGATCTGTATCCAAAACTCTGAAGGGAAATCGAGCAACAGCTTTGAGATCTGCCACTCAAGGAAGGGGCTGAGGGGTCCCTGGAACAGGGACATTGTACTAACCCCACAAATCAGGAACTAGGGGATACTGGAGGCCAGAGTTTGGGTGTCTCCCTGAGACTCTGCTGAGCAGGGGTAGGGTGTGCTGGTTATTTCAGGGCTCTGTACACCTGTCTTTCTCATCAGTATTTGTCACCCTTGAAAATGGTGACAGCACACTGTGGGGGTGGGGTGCAGACTCAGTGCTGGGGGCTCATAGGCTCTTGTTGGGTGTGGCCCACAGGTCTTGGGATCCTACTTAGCCTGGCTGTGGGGAACAAGGATTTGGAGATGTGGACTCTGACCCAAGATAAGGAGTGTGACCTTACAGGCTACCTTCGGGTCAAGCTGCAGTACAGGAACCGGCTTCAGTACATGGTAACTAGAACAGCACCCAATGGATCCCTATTCCCAAGCCCCACGGCTCTCCTGGACCTAGACATGTCAGCCCCAAGGTCACAGCAAGGCTGCACTGTCCCCCTTTGTCTACCACATAACCCGCGGGAGTAAGTGTATCACCTCCCACCCCTCCCCCACTTCTTCACTGACCTTACATGGCTTTCATCTTATAACTCAGAAAAGCTCTCCAGAGACTCACTGGAGGATATTAGTGGAGGAGACAAAGACCTTCAAGTCAGAAAATGTGGTTCCTTTTGGAGACTGGCGATGCCCACATCACGGTTGCAGGCTTCCTTCATGGCTAGATTTTGCTTGTTTGCTTTTCTCTTTCTTTTTTTAAAGACTTTATGTATCCTAGGCCAGCCTTGAATTTACTTTGTATAGAGGATGGACTTGAACTTCTAATCCCCTCTCGTCTACTCTCTGAGGGCCAGGATCACAGATGGGTTCGACACAGTGCTGAGGCCTTATGCAAACCGAGGGCCTGGTGTGTGCCAGATGAGCACTCTACCATCCCTTGCCCTTGTTTGGCTTTTTTGACACGGGACCTTATTATGTTAGAGAGGCTGGTTTTGAACTTAAGATCTTCCTACTTCAGTTTCCTGAGCACATGCCCAGCTCTTTAGGACTGTCTTTGAGACTCTGTTGAGATGTCATTCATACACTACACAACCCACTAACTGAAAGTGTACAACTTGGGCTTGGGCGGATGAGATGGCTCTGTGAGTAAAAGCACCCGCTACACAAGTCTGGTGACCAGGGTTTAATTCCCCGAACCCAAATAAAGGTGGAAAGAGAGAACGGAGTCCTGAAACTTATCCTTTGACCTCCATATCAGTGCAGAGGCATGTGCATGCCCCCCCACACTAATAACAATGTGTCAGACTCATTGGTGTCTAATGTGTTCACAGAGCTGTGCAAAGGTTACCTTTGTAAGCATCAGATGAACCATATTCCTCACCTCCAAAGTAACAAGTCTTCCTGAAAGTCCTGGGTCCATACCCTGGGCCAGAAACTTTAGCCCTTACAGAATTGTGTTATCTGATTTCAGCCTCCCTTTGTCTTAGGGGAAAGAGTGCTGTTTCCTCGATAGAGGATCTGTCTGCCCTCACAGTTAGGCTGGGTCCTTTTCTTGGGGGTCCTGTTTGAGGTTTTTCTGCCTCTGATCTCATTCTCTGTTTCTCCCCAGAAACATTACTTCCCCATCAACTACAGGGTTGCTGTGCCTTATGAGGGGGTACTCAGAGTTGCCAACATCACGAGGCTGGTAAGGACCCCTCCCGGGATGGGGAGTCTCTGCCTTCCATGATGCCCTCAGAAGCATGTGGGTCCTTGGCAAGTTGTCCTGTTTATTGACCAGGGGCCTTTCCCTAGTCACTTAAGCAAGCCTGCAGCTAACCTAGACCCAAGGTTGTCTGGTGGCCACAGTGGTTGACTGTGGCTGCTCCCATACAGTGGCAAGTCCATGGGGGTGTGACAGCCCAAAGGCCTAGCTTGCATTTCAGTGATATCTCCTGCCCTTCCCTGCAGCAGGCGGCCCGTGTGAGCGAGCGGGAGCTGCGGTATCTGTGGGTCTTGGTGAGTCTCAATGCCACCGAGTCTGTGTTGGATGTGCTGCTCGAGGGCCACCCATCCTGGCGGTATCTGCAGGAGGTTCAGACATTGCTGGAGAATGTTCAGCGGAGCCTCGTGGTGAGCTGTGTGAATGCCTGTGCAGGTCTGACAGACGCAGGCAAAGGGCTGTGAAGGGAAAGTTCTGCCATGTGCGGAGGAGGTGGGACACATGAGGGATGGTGTGCGGGCAACGTGACCGAGGAAGGAGGAGGCGCCAAGGCCCGCCACGAGCAATGGCGCTGGGTGAGGGACAGGTGGAACATGGGACCTTGTTTCTGGCCTATATGAGATCTTTTTTTTTTCTTTTAACTTGAAATATTTTGCTTTTATTATCATCATTTTTATTTTATAACCCACCAAGTCCAACTAGTGCTGCCCGCTGAAGTGTTCACTACTCATGCTGGCTTGACTTTGGACAACCTTGTGCAGGCAACCAGAGCTACATGGGTACACAGGGCACATCGTAGCCATAAGACAGCATTTGTTTGTTTGTTTGTTTGTTAAGAGACAGAGTCTCATTGTGAAGCCCTGCCTGGCCTGAAATTTGCTGTGTGGACCAGGCTTTTCCTCTTGTGCCCTGAGTCTTGGGCAAGCCCGGGGAATCCTCTGACATCATTTCTGCACCTGAAAAGTGAGGCTTCCCCTAGAGAGGTGGGAAAGGAAGAGAGTGGAGAGACAGGAATTCCCAGTTTTGAAACTATTCTGTGTAATATGGTAATCATGGATCGATTCATACATTATGTTTTAGTCAAAAACCCATGGAACACTGAGAGTGCACCCTGATGACTATGACTGAGTTTAGAAAAACACGAAGGGAGACGACATGGCGTGGCATGACCGCAACCCAGTACTCTGGAGGCCAAAGAAAGATGTGAAGTTTGAGGCTGATCTGGGCTACTAGTGAGATCCAGTCTTGAAAACAAATCCCCAAACCATCTGATAATCAACCAAACCCACTCCTGAGTTGCAAAGTGGCAGGCATAGTCACATGTCCCGGCCCCCTCGGGCCCTCCGTGTGTACCTGCTGGGGCGCGCACACGGGGCCCTGCTCAGCCTGGCTTCCCTAGCCCAGGGCCAGACCATCTGACGCCAGCTGTGAGCTCGGGGACGGGGACTGTTTTCATAGCTGTCTAGAACCATGCGGGATGGTTCTCCCAGTTCCTGACAGAAGGTCACAGGACCCTGCCCTTTTGTGCTTGTGGGCAATATGGCTGTCCTTGGCAAACTGATCTGGCTTGAGGAAAGACCTTTCCTGTCTTTGTTTGACCCATAGAACAGATTCTGGAAGGCTCATGGGAGGGAGAGCAGGAGGGGAGTGTCAGCGCCTCAGGCCTCCAGTCCTGAGCTCTCTCTACAGAAGCACTGAACACAGAGATGGTTTTATTATTCAGATGTGGTGGGGTCTGGCCCCTTTCCTTCCCCTCCCTCTGCTGGAAGTTGAGCCAGCATACTAGGTACCCCCTCTACCACCAAGCTATGCCCCAGCCCTGCAGCCAGCCTTAATCTTCCTTTCTTCTAGCACTGCTAATAGTCTGTGTCCTGGCTTTGAAGGTGCGTTATCACTTACCTTCTTTGCTCATGGTAGTGAGTGATATAAGAGGTCAGGTCCTGAGACCTGAACACTAGCTCTGTTTCCAACCGCATAACTTTGAACAAGTTATTTCATTACTGGGCTTATAGGTTATCACTTATAAAGGAAAGAATTGAAACCTAAGTCTTTTTTTGAGGGGGGGGCAGGGTTTCTCTGTGGTTTTGGAGGCTGCCCTGGAACTAGCTCTTGTAGACCAGGCTGGTCTCAAACTCATAGAGATCCTCCTGCCTCTGCCTCTACCTCTCCAGTGCTGGGATTAAAGGCATGTGTCACCAATGCCTAACCTAAACCTTATCCAGCCATAAAATGTGGACTTGATGACCTTATCCTATCTCCTCATCCACTGGAAGATGTCTGAATTCTGGGCTCAGCATTGTTGTGGTTTTTACTCAACTTTCATTGTTCCCATAAGAAACTGGGCCTGGGAAGATGGCTCAGTGGTTAAGGGCACTTGCTGCTCTTGGAGAGGATCCCAGCTCCCAAGTCAGTTGGCTCACAACTCAAGCTCTAGGCAATCCAGTGCCCTCTACTGGCTCCCATAAGCACTCACATATATGTGGAACACACACACACACACACACACACACACACACACACACACACACACTGACACTCATACACATAAATAAGAAGAAAAGTATTTAAGAAAAAGGCAGATAGAAACTAAGTCTCTGATACAGACCTGGAGGCTGTGTTAAGAGGGAGCACACTTTACAATGTAAAGCCTGCAGTTTTGACTATTTTTAGTTGCTGATTCGGTGGTGTTAATTACACTTACAGGATTAAGTATCTATCACCACAACCATTTCTGGCTCTCTTCCATCACCTTTTGTATACAGGAAGCAGTCATTTCTCACTTCTTCCCACCCCCAGTAACCATAGTCTGTGTTCTTTCCTATTATGTGCCTGCTTTTCTTGGTATAACTTCTAAAATGGGCCATACACTATCTGTCCATTTGTGTCTAGATACTTGCCCTTAGGTAAAGCTTTCTAACTTTATCTATTGAATCTGACAAAGTTGAGCAGACTCTAATCCCACACTTTACAGGCAGGAGGTTTGTAAGATTGGAGCCACTCTAGGCTATGTATCCAGACCTTGTCTCAAAAAACCAAACAAGGACCGGGTATAAAGGAGCATGTTTAATTCCAGCACTCAGGAAAGGTGTAACAAGGGGCTGGAGAGGGCTCAGAGGTTAAGAGTACAGACTGCTCTCCCAGAGGTCCTGAGTTCTATTCCCAGCACCCACATGGTGGCTCACAACCATCTGTAATGAGATCTGGTGCCCTCTTCTGGCCCTACAGCAGAACACCGTATACATAATAAATAACTCTTAAAAAAGAAAAGGTGCCTTAATAGTGGAATCGCTGGCTCACATGATGGCGCCACTGCCACTGGGTCATGTGGCGGTACTGATACTGTATTCCTGCCGGTTAGCTTTGGCTGGCTTTTCTTTTTGTTTTGTAGAATCAAGGTCTCAATCTGTGTCTGCTCTGGTGCAGCTTATGCTCCTTCTGCATCCCTCAGCATTCCGAGGGAGAGGTTACAGGTGTATGCCACCACATCCAGCTTTAGGCTGTTCTTCCATTTTTTGGAAGATTATCTCTTGCCAGCTGTTTATGACTTTGAGTGTCTCTGATGGACACTCAGTGACCCTTGGTGGAGGTGGTTGTCATATATATATATATATATTCTTTCTAGACAGGACCGGGGTTGCAGGCTGGGCTTCCTTTCCTTTCCATCATCCTCACTCCACTTTGGTCACAACTTTTCTAGGCTGCTGTCATGAATTAGCTCAAACTGGGTGTCTTAAACTAAACTCCTGGAAACCAGAAGTCCAGAACTAAGATCTTGGCAGGGCCAGTCTCCCCTGAAAGGTCTTTGCTCCTCCCAGCCTTAGGTGGTGCTTCTTATTCTTGGCTAGAGACAGTATCTCTCTGACCTGTCTCGTTCTTCTGCTAGGTACCTCTCCATGACCTTTCTCATATGGCTCTGGGTGGTACCTCTCTGTCTTTCTGATGTAAAGAGCTGGTCTAGCATGCCTAAGACCCAAGGTCCTATCCCCAACACAGAGAGGGGAAACACCAATTAGTCATTGGATTTAGCATCCACTCTAAAAACACAATGATGTAAACTTGAGACCCTTGGTACCTAATTTCCCAAAAGGGTCACATTCATGGGTATGGAAGGGTAGGACTGAGGCTATTTTGGAGGGCCTGGGGCACAGAGTTTAGCTCAGGGCTTTGCCTAGGCAACAGCCACCGTTGGGAATCTTATCTTTTAGCTCAGGCCCTACCTTTCCCATGATGCCTCTACAGTGGCCCTGAACTTCCAGGGCCAACAGCACCCTCTACACTGTCCTTTCTGCTAAGCTTTGAGATGAGAAATTATTTGAGCTTGGAGCTGCATGTTCAGCTCCGCCTGTGTGACTCGTGCCTCAGGGATCCTCAGGAGGGTCTCTGGTTGTGTAGGCAGAGGGCTTTGCTTTCTGATGGAGTTTCCCGGGTTGGAGGTTGGCGACTATGCATGCTGGAGGTCCCAGGTTCTTCCCTGTGCTGGCCTGTGCTCTGTAGTTATTTTCTGGTGACGAAGAAGCAGAAGCCTCTGCGAGGGGTAACAACAGGGACCCTCAAGGCCTTCTGATCCCTGGAAGTTGTATTTTGTTGAAACATCTCCAGGCTAGACAGTTGCCATGGTTCTCATATTGTGGGGCTCCTCTCTCTACTTGTCCTGATGGTTTCCTCTATCCCAGGATGTGGAGATCGGCCCTGAGGTGGAAGCCGTGTTATCGCTTCTGAGTAGCCCAGGCCTAAGCCTGAAGCTGGTGCGCCCCAAAGCTTTGCTGGACAACTGCTTCCGGGTCATGGAGCTGCTGTACTGCTCTTGCTGTAAGCAAACCCTGTGGATGGGGCTGACAACACTAGACCAGAGGATCTGGGCCCTGGTTTGTGGGCAGTCCACACTGTCTTGGGGATACCCTCTTATTTTGATAGACAGGCAGTTTCCAGAAGTGGGGATGGGTCTAGAGTGTGGAGACAAGAATGTGTGGTTTGGCAGTTCTGTCCTACAGTGCTTGCTTTTCTTTCTGTCTTGCAGGTAAACAAAGCCCCATCCTAAAATGGCAGGACTGTGAGCTGCGGAGTCTCCATCTCCACAGTGCAGGGTCCTTGATGCAATGTGCAGCTGCCAACGTTTACCCTTTGCCTCGGCAGCCCCCCACCTCTCTGCCCACTTCCCCAGGCTCAAGCCATGGTCCACTGCCCTGAGCAGTCTGGGTGGTAACCCTAGGTTGGGCCTCTGGATGTGTTCCTGGAACTGGCCTGGGTCTGAGACTTTCTGGGATGGGGGATAGGTAGACCTGCAGGGAAGACCTGGGAAAGGCATTGTGCCTTCTCTTCCACAGCCAGGCGCAGCTACCAGCCCTTTGTTCCTGGAGCCTCAGTGTAGAGGTGTGGAGGGGAAGGCTGGCTGCTGCCCCCACAGCCACTCTTACCTGTGACAGGCTCTGAAATCTGCAAATGTTGTTGCCCCACAGGTGGGTGGTTGGAGACGGGATGCCACATAGAGTTCTGGGACTCACTGGGGCTTTGCAGTTGTGCTGAATGTCAGGAGCTGGGCCGAGGACTGACCAAATGCCGTATCTTGCCACAACAGTGCTCTTCTGGTCCTTTTCTATTAAATGGCCACTTGTTTGGTTTGGCTCGCATCTGTGAAGGTGAACCTGGAGGGGTGGAGTTCCGGAGATGGAGGGTGGGCTTGGTTGTGCCTGGGGCTGAGGCTGTGTCTGGAGTAGCGGTGGGCAGAGCCTTCCCCAGAGCCATTGAGTACTCAGGTCTTCCAGCTCTGTTCTGCCGCGTGTCGGCAGGCTTGAGTAATGTCTGCTGGGGTGTGGGTGCCTCCTTGACCATGTTTGTCCCCTCTCTCTGGTCCCCCCCCTCCAGTCCCGTGGGAGCACTTCGAGGACCAACTCCGGTCTCTGCCCACCTCTCCTTCACTTTCATCAGTACCACCTGGCTTGCAGACCCAGGTCAGGGATGATGAAGGCTGGGATGCAGGGGTGGGAAGAGGAACAGGTGAGCGACAGCAGCCCAGGGAAGCCAGGCAGGGGCCGGGTGTTAACTACAGTACCACTTTATTAATACTGGAATCTTCACAGTGCATTTGTTACCTGTAGCAGTGACTAAATCAAGGAGAGGATGGAAAAGGGGGAGAATAGGAGGATTTATCCAAAACTTGACAGAAAGAAAAGAAAAAAAAAGTGGTTCTGGTGGGATGAAGGATGGGAGGTGGAGGGTGAGCAGGAACCAGGAGGGTGGCAAAATAAATTAAAAAAAAAAAAAAAAAAGGAACACGTTAACAGCACCAGAAAAGTTACTTCAGTCAAAAGACACGTTTGAAAAGAATATTTTGCTGTACAAAATGAAAAATAAAATGTATGTGAAGAAGCCCCAAACCAAAGTCTGTGATGCAGGATGGTTGGCTCGGATCCCAAGGGTGGGCCTATGTGAGAGGTGGGTACTAAAGAGAAGGTGAGTGGGAGAAGGGACTTGTGGGTCAGACGAGGGGTTGGAGTATATACAGCCCTGCAGGGAAGGCTGAGTGGGGTGGGGGAGCCACCCCATCCTCTCCCTGGAAAGTCCCTGACCTCCTTTCCCATCAGGGCTTGGAGCCCCCAGATGGCAGTGAGCCCATCCTCTCAGGAGCTCTCCCTCTTCCAAGACCCAGCCACACCCTGGGTTCCACATCTGGCTGTCTGCTTTCCTGGCCCTATACTTGGGGCTCTGATGACAACTGAGTTTAGTGGACCAGGTCTCAGACCCGGAACTCATTCTCTAGAAGTCTCATGGGCACTGGAGCTTCCTTAACCTTGGGCCCAGGTCAGGCCCAGCTCCACTCCAACCAGACCAAGGCATGCTCTCTGGACTCCTTGTGGGGTGGGGGAGTTTCCTGCCTGCTCTACCTGCACCTCCTGAATCTCTCCTCTCACCCTACACCTACATGCTTTGACTTGCTCAGTCTTGGGTTGCACAGTGGAAGCAGTCTCCCCACTCTTTCTCTGGCCCCTGCTGCCAGCCCCAGCCAGGCCCGCAAGCAATGACTTTCTTGGGATGGAGTTGCCTCTGGCAACAGAAAGTCAAAACCAGTCTAAGACTTGCTCCAAGCTGGGCCTGCAGCTCTCTTCCACACAGACGGGCCAGGGGCCCCTGACCTATCCTCTCCAGACTTATTCTACCAACACTCCAGATGGCGGTGAGAAGAGCAGCTTCCCCTGGTTTGGGGAGAGCAGACTCCACCCTCTCCTGCCACCAGCCCTCCGTGGGGCCCCCACATCTGTCTCTCAGGCACTCAGACACACACCCTGTACCACCAGCTAGCCCCACACGTAGTTCTTGTCTGGGGTCAGCTCCATTTTATTACAGTCATAAAATAACCCCCCATACCCTCTAATGCTCCAGCCCTTATCCCCAGCAATGGGTGGGACTGTAACCCCAAGGTGCCCCCAAGTTAAAGCCTCAAAGTGTCCAGAGGAGAGCAGGATGTCTGAAACACCTGGTGTGGGCCTCTGGCCTCATCCCCCTGCCTCGCCTCCATTAGCTACTCCTCCCGGGGGGGGGGAGCTGGGAGGTCCCCTGAGACAAGGCCCCTATATTTCCTTCCTCTAGGCTCTCCTTCCCTCAAGGGAGCCTGGCTCCAACCCTTGACGATTCCCTGACCCCAGTCACATATCGGTACTCAGCTGATTGGGTGCCTGGCCCTTCCATGACCACCCAGTCCCCAAAAGAGTGAAGCCCGGGAGAGGCAGGGAAAAGGTAAGAGGAAAGGGGACAGGAAAGAGGCAGGGAGCCGAGGGAGCCAACATTCAAGGCAAGAGCCAGGCACATGGCCCTGGGGGACAGCAGGACCACAGGAAGAAAATTGTGGACCCCAGGCCAGGTGGGGCCCGTGTGGCAGGCCCAGCCCTTGGTTATGGGCTCTGGGGTTGGGACAAAGCAGGGCCTGCAGGAAGGAGGAGGATGGGTTGGGCAAGGAAAGTGTAAAACAGGCTCTGTCCTGGCGAGGTGCGTAAAGGAAGTCACTTCCCACGAGATGCTGAGATCAGCCTGGTCGTCTTTGTATAAAGTGGCTGTGCCTCGTTCCTGGCGCTGTTCTGTCTTCAGGCCGCGCCACTGCTCAGAGGCTGACCGATGCTCACAGACCAGGCCACCTACATGTGCCAGCCCAGATAGGGAGGGGAGGGTGGCACCATCATAGGATGCGGGGTGCCGACCTGTCGTTGGTGACGGTCCTGCGGAGCCGGACCCCGCGTCGAATGGCCACCAGCATGTCTTCAGCTGGGGGATCACTGGTGGCAGCAGGGGGTGGGGTGGGGGTCTCCTCTGAAGGGGTGGCTGACAGGGCAGTAGGGAAGGGGAACTGGCCCTCACCCAGGGCGTGGGCGCCGGCCACCAGCTCCCCGAGCTTTTCCACCAGGCTGTGCCTGTTGGCAGCCAGCTGCTGCTCTTCATCGTCCTCAGCGGCCAGCCCGACCCCGGCCCCGCTGTAGATGCCTGCCTCCGGGGATGGGCTGCCCCAGGCTGTGTTGGGCAGGCTGAGCCTCTTCGGGGAGGCTTTGGCCAGGTCTGGAGCCAGAGGTGAGGCCACTTCATCTGTGTAGAAGACACACTCCTCGCTGCCCGCCCGTGTGGGCCCCACATAACCAGGGGAGTCGGGCACTGTGGGTGTCTTCACAGGGACGATGGGTGGGCGGATGGGGATGGGGCCGGCGCTGGACAGGGCGCGCCGCACAGTGGGCTTGGTAGAGGGTGTGCGGCGGATGGTGGCCACACCAGGAGGTGCGCCTGAAGGTAGCCCCATGGCTGTGGGCAGCCCTGCAGTGGGCAGCCCAGCGGTTGAGGCTGGGCGCTTGGTCTGGATCAGGCGTCGGTAATTCTGGGCGATGTTGCTGTTTCGAGGGATGGTGGATGATTTGTCGAACTCAGGGGGGCCCTCGCTGTCTGCATCCCCATTCACAGAGTAGCAGTCATAGTCTGAGCCTGGAGACACAGGGTGCGGTGAGCCCTGGGACGAGGTGATCCCTGGACCCCACATCAACTCAAGGGAGGCAGTCCTCTTCTGTGGGACCCTCACCCCAGGTGTCCGGGGTTGGGTGGGTTCTGGGGCTGTGAAGGCCCAGCAAGCACATTCAGCCTGTGGGATGTCTCTAGGCCCACCTTGGGAGGGGATGGTGTCCTCGGAGCACGAAGGTGTGGTGGTCTGTGTGCTGTAGCCACTGGAGTACTGCAGCGAGTCCCGGCTGCTCTTCTGGTGTTCCAGGCTCAGTCCGCGGGTCAGCACCATGGCCAGATCGCTGGCTGCAGGGGACACCTCCTCACCGTGCTGAGGGTGGGGAAAACGGCCTACTAATGCGGGAGGCTGCACGTCCACCCTCTTTTGGGACTCTGGGCTCCATTAAGGCAGACAGAGTGGGCTCTGAAGATCACCTGTGGGCACCCTGGCACTGACCGGGGAGTGAAGGTGGGGCCTGGCTGGGGAGCTGCCCACTTACTTTGGCTGCTATGGTGGCAGGAGACATCCGGGGACGCAGTACCTCCTCTCCACTGGAGCCCACAGTGCTCCCACCAGTAGGGCCCGGCTCAGTGTCTCGCAGGAGCTCCACACGATCTTTCCTCCGCTGCAGGGTGGTGGCCGAGGGCTGTTCATGGAGACCGGCCTTGGTCCAGTCCTGCAAGGTATGGCAAGCACGTCATAAAGACCCTAGGCCTTATTGCCCATGACCACGAGGCCCTTCTTTGTGGTTGAGGCTCAGGGGGTACTGATCTGTGAGGGGTCTCTTATTAATGATCAGGACTCGGGCCCGAATCTGGTGGGCAGCGGTGACTGCTCTGTCCCACCAGACCAGGACAGGGCAGGGTGTTCCAAGACAGAAAGGTATGGCCACAGCAAGTGCCTGGGTGGCTGTTTCACAAAGAAAGCACCAGGACATACAGCTTTCCTGCTGAATCTGGCTGCCCCCGCTGTGGCAACTGCCCCAGGTCAGGAGGGCTTGGGGTGGGCAGCTGGTGATGTTAATGGGACTGGGGCCAAGGGCACTGACCGAGGTGGGGGAGCTGCACTCGCTAACCGACTGGCAGGTTTCTGAGGCCTCGGAGGACGCAGAGCTGGAGGACTTCTGCCATGCAGAGGCGAGCGGGTGGTCGCAGATGGGGGCCCGCGGACAGACAGGCCAGCGAGGCAGGGAGGAGAAAAGAGTTCTGGTCACAGTGGTAGCATGCAGTGGCCGTTGATTCAGCACTTCACCCTGCACGCCCCTCCTGGTGTTGCAGCCACCAAGACAACCACAGAGGCAGCAGCCCAGGGAACATCCTA